CTAATCATTTACCTGTTACCTTAGGATCTTAGCTTTCCTAGCTTTTAGTATTGCCAGCTATGGAGAAATCTAAAAATGCAAATATTAAAAGCTGAATAATCCAAACACAAGGAAAGTGGAGTCAATTACTGATTTTTATTTTCTGCAAGTAATGTAATTTTGCAAATAGTTTAATTAGTTCAATGGACCTAGATTATATTTTTTTCATATTTGGGGTTGGAAATACTGCTCTGCTAGACCTGCCACTTATATTTTTAAATCTGAAACATAGACATAAAGAAGAATCTTAGTTGTGTTTTTCTCACCGTTACTGAGTGGAAACCCAGCCCCTCAAGGGCTGTGAGCACAACTTTACAACCAACTTCAAGAGATCACCTTTCTGTAAAGTGCTTTTGGATGGATGGTGAGGTGTGATATAATTAGAAGCTGCCTAAATAGCGACTGGGCCTAGATAATTTGCCAAGTGCCATGTGAGAAGTTTGTGACAGAAACCAACTGTGGTTCTTTGGCTGATACCTAATGCCTGGCCATCTGCCTCGCCAAGCTGACGGCATAAATACTTGGGGAGCAACTGCGGGAGCTGTTGCCTCAGATCGGCCTGGTCAGTGATTGCAGTAGGCAAAGGACCTTGTTGCTGCCTTCTGAAGGATTATTCACAAGCTTGAGACACCATTTATTTTAAATACAGTCATTTTCACAGCAGTATTCAAATGCCACCTTCTCCTTGCATAAAATGCATGGAAATATCTAGCCACAAGACATGCAAGGATAACTTTCCACCAAGTAGATGTCACAATTCATGCAGCGTACCCTTTCAGCTATAAAAACATGTCACCAGAGCCCAGGATTTTACAGAAATAAGTATGCTGCCTTTATTTTGTGTGGCAATAAGATACCTTTACATACAGCGGTTTCCTTTTGTCAGGCTGCACCGCAGAGTTCGTGCAGACAGTCTATAAAGTTTATCTCATCCTCTGCTCAGAGGCAGTGTATGCAAAATGCAGTGCATATATTTTGTTAATTAGTGAAAAGATTGCCATGCTCTTCAGAGATACAGTTCCTGCCATAGGTGTAAGAAAAGCTCCAAAGGTTAAAATAAGTATATTCAGTATGAAAAGTTTTGAGAACATGTTCAGCTGGAGAGAAGACAATATATACTGAGAAACAGAACGTTTTATACTCGTCCATTATGTCAGTCTTGTTACAGAGAGCCAATTGCAACAGTCCCTAGCTAAGCGAAACACTTCATGAGAGCAGAATCTGTCCAGCACAGATGGCCTGAATTCATACGTTGCTGCTGAGTTTCTAACTGTGATTATTCTTCATTTCCTTCTTCTTCTCTCACCTTGTGAATTAGTCTCGTTTGAGAAGACAGGATGTCGGCTTGAAAAGCCACCTGGATCAGCTAGACCAGCGAATAAGTGAGCTGAAATTGGACGTCAGTAAGACCTCCAGTGAATACTTGGATAGTGACAGCCGGCCCAGCTCAGGTAATGTGCACTTGGTCGCTTATTCCCAGGAGTGTGGCGCTAGGAGATGTGAATAGTGTCAACTGCTAAGCAAAACTCTCTGTATTGTTTGGTCAGAAACAGTGCCTCATGGCTGAGGTGGAGAGTAGTCATCTGGCACAGAGCTGGGAATTTTCCTGCAAAGTTGATTTAGTTGGAAAATGCTTATTCATTCAAACAGTATTTTTTCCTGATTTTTTTTTTTTTAAATGGACATTTTAGCCACAAATGGAAGGAGGAGAAGACAGATTTATTAATTAATCTCCTTGTCCAGTGCAGAATGACCATTGGCAAAGTGCTTAGAGTACTTACTAGAAGTGAAGGAGACCAACATCCATGTCAATGCTCTGCTTGAATTCAAGTAGGGTCGTGAACCTCACTAAGGCTTTGAAGATCACTACCACTGCAGTGCTCTGGCCAAATGAATGTTTGATCATTTATATAAAAATGAAGCAGCTCTATTAAAAGACACTGAGAAAAAACACACCAGCAGTTTTCCAGCTAAAGCTGTTATGGACAGAAAGAGATTGAGTTTCAGGTTTCTGGTGTGATTCACAAAGAATGCTGTACTTCAGACTTTTATAGCTAGGATGTCTCTTAAAATCAGTTTCTGTTATCTAGTGTGGACAATGGGAATACTTCTTTTTAAACAGAATGTTGAAAAGCCTGAAGTCTTCGGTGAGGCAAGGAAAGAATTTTTATTGACAGCATACAGATTTGTAGCCTGGTACTTAGATTGGGTATAAAAAGTGCAAGTTTGTGTTGATGGTTTAAGTTCAGGAGTTGTGTGCTTAGGCACATACCCACAGTTAAAAAGGAAACAGCTTCCTTTTGTGTTTGCTTTATACGGAGAGGAATAACAAGAACTCCTATCTTGAATTTATACAGAGCCTTTTTTAATACTTCCATAATTAATTGGCAATGATCGCAAGACCTGGAGAGGGAAGATAGCTCCATTCTCTGCCCTGAGACATTCCAGCTTATTCTAGACTTGGCAACTCTGATCATGGGCCAGTTTTACTCTACTTTCCCATCCAAGCTGTGCTTGTATGCACCTGTCACATGTTACGACAGTGTAAGACAGCCCTATTTTACACCAGTTGCATAATACTCCTCAAAGAAGTTCTCCAGTGAAGAACTGGGCATGAGGGTGCTGCATTTCACCCCATCCCACCCTCAGAACTAACCATGCATGTGCGTGCCAAGCTGGCTCAGGGCCTAAATAAATAAGCAGAAGCCAAATAAAAGGTGGTTGAATTAGACTATGCCTCTGCTAAAGTTACCCAAAGAAATGATCATAAATTTAGGCCTGTGGCATATAGCAAATGAAGATTTGTTTTATTCTCTGCATTTTTCTTCTACAGAGCACATTTAGTAACTGTAAATAAGAACTATCTTCCGATTTATTCTAACTACAGGCTTCTATGACCTGAGTGACGGTGGTTCTTGCTCACTCTCCAATTCTTGTACCTCTGTGTACAGTGAGTCCATCTCCTCATCCCACACCAGTCTCTTGCCCGGCTCTCAACACCCTAAAGCAAGGCTCAGTGTGTTTGATTACCGACCCAAGTCTGCAGATGAAACTACTGTGCACGCCACCAGCTTCCAACAGCAGGGAACCTATGTCAGCGATGGATGTCGGATTACAGCTAGCACAGACATTTCTGGGACTCCTGCCAGGTCCCGACCGAGGCCAGTTTCCACAGGTAATCAACTGCAGAACAGAGACAGGCACAATCCTGGTTATTGCTTTTAGGACCTAATATGTAATCACTATATAGCACTGATTTTCAATACACAAAGTGAGAATTAATTGAAACCACAGAGTCAGACCATTTACTGTCCAACTTTCACTTGTCTCCATACTCAGATACTTTTAAACAATAACAAATACGAGGACGTATGCGTCTAGAAATGGAAGAATATTTAAGTGCATGAGATAAAATTGTCATGAATGTTGAGATACTTTTTTAGTTTACCTGCTTGTGAAATCAGAAAAATTGCAGTATTTGAAATACCTTGTGTGAAGGTGCAGGGATGTATGAAAAACAGAAGGTGAATTCAAAATTAAAGGTGATGCATTTTACTGGGAAAGATTTTACAGAAATCTAAGGAAAAAGAGACACTTCCAGACTTAGTGCCTGTTTTCTCAATCTGTTGTAAAATAAGTGTGATAATACTTTATATATATATATATATGCCTTGCCCTATTTATTCAAATTAATGTGGACTTAAACAATACTCTTTTTTGTAACTTATTATGTACAGTTAGGGAGAACAGACACCAAAAGTTATTTAACTATCTGTGAAGCAATCGTGAGCCTCACAGTGGATGAACCATTAATTTGCATCATATCTTCAGACAATATGGACAAGTCCATTAATATTCCAAATCTCTTGTTTATCCGTCTGTGAAGTGACATCATATCACTTCTTATTTTGGGTCCTTCCACGGCCTCAGAGCAATCTTGTGTTAGTGCAATTCATATGGTGACCCAGCCAGATGTGTGACTGTTCCATTACAGAAGCAGGGAAGCTGCAGGGAACATCATTTCAAGTACAGTGGCATTCTGGAGTCATTCCCACAGCTTCTGAACCTGAGCTAGCTCACCTCTGGCTTGCTTGGAGCAGAAGCAAAGGCCACCTGTTCTGTACCTGTGCAGACATACCTGAAGCAATGATGGTTAAGTTATAGCATAAAAGCAAAGGCTTCTCAAGACTTCTCAGAGGCTGAGGGTGGAGTGAGCTTAATGATCCATAGCTTCCATGTTCAGATTACAGACTTGTTCTGTCAGAAGCTTTCCTGCTTTGCAAGATTTTGCCAAGACCCTAGGGGCTTTATGGTTTTCTGGGTACGGAGATAGACTAGCAGAAAAAGGGGTAGCTGATGTTAAGTCGGGGTGCAGGAGTAAGGCTACAGACCTTCTTCAGCCCTCCTTCCTTTTTCCATCACCACCTCCCTTCATCTTGGCTACAACCTCTTATGTTTCTCACACTGAAGAACTAAGTAGTGAGGTAGTAGTGGAAACAATTCTTGCAAAGTTGACCACGTTGCAGGAAGAAAGGCAAGATGTTATTTCAGAAAAGCATAATTTTGGAGGGGGAAAGAGATTTCTCTTTTCCTCTCCTTAGCTTGTCCCCCCAGGTAACTGCAGGTACAAACCGATTTTCTTTTCTTTCAGTAGCAAGTAGAAAGCTTGCTGAGACACCACAGGCACAGCATTCTTTGGACACCTTCCTGGTTTGTTTGCACAAGAGCACCACTACACACTGCCAACAATTTCCTAGAGAATTTTTACTATGGAAATATGTTGTTGAGAGATCATGATCATAACCTTTGCTATAGCAAGTCTGTGAGTGCCTTAGGCAGGACACTGCAGACAATGCCAAATTTTGAAGTCTTACAAAAGCTTCCTGTCACAGGACAGAAATTGTCACTGTAAGTGAAATATGTGGTTAGATTTGATGCTTGGGTTTCCTGGAGACATGAAGCAGCCAGGAAATCAGTTAGCTGAGGATTTGTTGGTACCAAAGTCTGCATCGTTGTACAGAAAAATCCAAGCTAACTGCGAATGGTTCCAGTACTCTTGGAACAACGCTCCAGTATACAGCACCATAGTGCTCTATTGGATGACTGGTCTGGGTGGAACAGTCTTGTTTTACGCAGAAGGAGACGTTCCTCAGAGGAAGGTGCAGCAGTCAAGTGTAACTTACAGCAAACTTGACAGTACTCTAAAATTCAAGAGATCTGAATCAGTGACCATAAATGCCATTTTCAGGGGCTGAGCTTCCTGTCTGCCTGAGTAGTTACCCTTAGATTTTTTTTCTCTGTCAAAGTAAAGTTATTTAGTCCATTTTACGTCCTTAA